CACACACACACACACACACACACACACACACACACACATCCATACATAATTATCAACACCCAAGGATAAATAAATTGATAAATAATAACGTATGATTATTTGTAATGTATCATGATATAAATATAATAGAAGAAGAAGAAGAAGAAGAGAGAGAAAGCATTTAGAATAGCGCAAATTCACACTCAACAGCAACCTCTATGCGCTTTCAATCTATACTATTACCCCAGCAGACCTAATAGCATTCTGAAACAATCATCTCAGCTTCCTGGGAAGCATACAATGCAAGATGCCATTTATAGGCGATTAAACACTAACATACTGACAAGATTTTTCGCCGTCTGTCGTTGGGTACCCATTCCCACCTTGGTGAAGTGAAGAAAATTCGTTTTAATTGCCTTTCCTATGGACACAATGTCGGAACTGCGGCTCGAACCCCCGAATCCACAACCTCACTATTACGAGTCAGGTTGCCTTCTAACCTAACAACTAGACTAACGACTAAAAGTAATATTCAGTCTTACTCAGTGATTTCCCCTATTTCCATTACATAGGCAATAAAGAGACCGACTGGTTTCATTTCGTTGCTTTTACAGTCACAACTTGCTAAAACGTTTTCAACGGTATTTTTCCAACAAAACTCATGTCTGCCAACGTGCTTACAGACTGATTTTTCTTTTTTATTCGTTCACAAAATCAAGAAGGCCGCCTACAGCAACGTCACAAAGATCTCGAAAACTCGAAAAGAAACGCAATCAATGAATAAAACGAAAAGCCAAGGGACACTAAAAACTATCCCGGAATTGTCTGGACTGAATTAACTTCCGTTTCTCGTCTGGTGGGGAATGGCTGACGAAGACTTCAAACGTCGCCATTTCCATTTTGTGAAAGTCATAGAAAGGATTTAAAGCGTCTTATTTCCCCGTAGTTCACGGCAGTTTTACTTTCCTTTCAGAATGTCAAAACGAGGCTGGAGGTATCCTGAGTGTTGACAACGAAGACTCTTTGCAAACCGTTTGTGACAGTAAAACAACAAAGAATTCTTGCCTGTTTAAAAATTCGCTTTATTGTCTTTCTGTCTGGCGTCTGTTTCTATATTTATTCTGTTTTGTTTTGTTTTGTTTCTTCTTTCTTTCTTTGTCGGCTTTCCATCCATTTTGGCTCTTTCGTATTGTTGGACTTGAGAGTCTCAACTCTCAAATTATAACCTTACACTGTTAAAAGAGGCTTAAGTGGCCAAAATTATATTTTTCTTCCCTTCCGTCTCCGATTAATGAATAGATGCTATCATCATCAACCTCATTATTATTATTATCATTAATATTATATTATTATTATTATTATTATTATTATTATTGTT